AGGGAGAGACAGAGACAGAGACAGAGAGAGAGAGAGAGAGATATCAAGGAAGGCTTTCTAGAAGAGAAGATGTCTGAGCTGGTGATGACATGTTCTCTTATTTAATTCTCACAACAAGCCAGTAAGGAAACCGAAGACAAGAACACATCGAACTTAGGTCTGACGTCCAAAGCCCACACTCACAACCACTTTTAAGGCCATCTAGCATTAGAAAGGTGAGAGGTAGCTGACCAGGTGATGACGCTTCAGGAGACAGAAAGTCCACGCGGCTAAGCATTCTGAACATAGCACAGGCTAGAAGGTGAGCAAGCAGCAGGAGACTGCTCAAAGCAGGCAGGAGTTCAACAACGAGAGGGGGCCTTTTATGCCAGGAACTTCAACTTTTATTCTGAAGGGACCGAGGCCTCATAGTTTAAGTGGCTATGTATATATTTTTTTCTTTGAGTCATAATCTCACTTTGTCACCCAGGATGGAGTACAGTGGCACAATCACGGCTACCACAGCCTCGACCTGCTGAGCTCAGGCGATTCTCCTGCCTCAGCCTTCCAAGCAGCTGGGACTACAGGCGTGTGCCACCGTGTCTGGCCAATTTTTTGATTTATTGTAGAGAGGAGGTCTCGCTATGTTGCCCAGGATGGTCCTGAACTCCTGGGCTTAAGCAATCCTTCTGCCTTGGCCTCCCAAAGTGCTGGGATCACAGGCATGTGCCACCACGCCTGGCCACGCGACATATTTTTTAAAGCAGTCATCTTAGCGGCAAAGCAGGGAGAGCTGGTAGGAGGGTGTGGCTATAAACCAGGCAAGCGAGGACAGGAGCCTAAGCCTCAGCTCTGTGACGGAGGATGGACTAAAAATATATTCAAGGAGTAGAACCAATAGGACATGGTGGCAGATAAGAGGGCTGAGGAAACAGGAGACAAGAATGACTCCCAGGTTTTGTTGTTGAAATAAGGAGTAAAAGAATCACAGTGCATCGGAGGAGAGAAAGTTGCAGGCCTGCTGACTTGACATGTTTGTGAAAAACGCACATGGAGGCACCCAATGGAAAATCAGATACACAGGACTCGAGTTCAGGGAAAAGAGGTGGCCTGGACCTACGGTTTAGTAGCGACCACCGAACAAGCGTCAGCTGATGCCACTGCACTCAGATGGCAATCTGGGAACATCAGCATGAAGAGACAGACACCAGAGGGATGCCCACAAAGAAGACCGCAAGGCCCAGGAGGCAGAAGAGGAGAGGGTGAGGACGTGAAACGCCAAGAGGAGAAAGACCGCACATCAGCGGGCAGGAAGTTCCGGAGAAAGAGAGGCTCCACCGGGCCTAGCAGCCAGGATGTCACTGGGGGCCGGGTGGCGGCAGATTCTGCGAGGTGGCGGGAGGAAACCGCAGCGGGATAAGGAGTGGAGGGGGGAGCAGGGAGCAGAGATGCGTTTCAGCAGACACAGCTGCTGAGGGAAGGGGGAAGGAAAGGACGCCCAAGGCTCCTGCTGGGTGTTGCCGGTGCCTGGAAACTGGAATAAACACTCAGCAATCACTCTACAAGTGCGTTACTTGTTAAACTACAAGCTCAGTATGCTGGTATATGATTTCAGAGCTTAAAGCGTGCCCCTCTTTTCAGTCGTGCAGAAATGTCCTACAGGTATAGCAACAATATATTTCATTAATAGCAAAACAAATACGATTGACTAAACACACACTCCGTGGAAATAAGAGTGTATTCAGTTTCTGTCGGGAGCGGATGTGACGTGGGGAGCAGACGAGCACTGTCATGTAGCAGGCCTTGAGTAAAGGCCCCAAGCGAAGGCAAGGCCTCGCCTGGACGCTCCGCATCCTAGCCAAAGGCAGGCAGTGAGGGATGCAGCCTGCGACACGAAACAGCGTCTCGGATGCCCACACATCCGGGTGCACATAGCACAGATCAAGCCTTAGCGACAAGACAACCGCGGAACAGTTCGCCGTTTAGGCAGCAACATAATTCCGTCATGGCTCCCTCACAGACCTTGAATCCCTTCCAACTTCCCTGGTGCTTGATTATAAAATAAACATGCTGAGCTAGTTCGGGGCCACTTCTCCTCCATCGGAGAAAAGGCGTTCCACCTGGCCCCAGGTTTTCTTTATGTCTTTGTCTTTTCATCTCTCGCCACGCACGCTCTTTCGGGACCCTCAAGGCAGCCATGTGGGTCGTGGCAGAAACCTGTTGAGTTTTTCTATCATAGATTGTGGCCCAGACAATAAGGGACAATATGTGACAGTCGAGACCCACACATTTTGCCCAAAATAAGAACAAAAACAACTACAGGTGTAGGGAACGCATTGGCACGCTGGAGCAGGCGCAGACACTCCAACCCTGAGAAGAGGAAAACTGAACCTTTCTTCTGTTCCCTTTTTACCTTCTCCAGTTCCAGAATCTGCTGCTTCTGCTCTTCATCCAGACTTTGAGTTCTGCTTTGCAAAAAAGCTCTTTCCTCTTCAAGCTGAGATAATCGCTCATTGGCTCTTGATTTCTCTGATTCTAAATCTTTGATCGTAACCTCTTGGGTCATTTGAGTTGCTTGAAGCATTCCAATATGACCTACCCCCAGAAAGAAAATTACTTCAATGGAAAAGTCAGTTGCGTTGTGATATAAAGCTGTTTGTGTTTAGTGACACAACTGTCCTTTATACCTAGGCAAAATAAATGGTCTGCACTTACCATTTTTCCTTTGGTTTATCCACTACATGAAATGGAAACAATTACCATAGGAATGCTTTCACCCAACCAGAATAAGCGAGAAAGCCATTTTCACATCCTAGTTTTGCTCCCTGCATTAGGATCATTCCTTTTTTTTTTTTTTTTTAGATTGCAAGCTACATAAGGTGAGAGAAGATGCACAACTAAGACCACATTGCCAAAATAAATATTCTGTTCTCTTCTAATCGCTTCTTTGTCACATTCTAACATAAAGAGGAAGAAATGTTTATGTAGGGAACAAAGGTGGCAGATACCAGTTTGGCTGAAACAAAATTTTTATTTTATTACTTTTTTTTTTTCTTTTCCTACAAACCCATGAAAAGAAATAAAGATGATGATAATGATTGTTGTTGTTGCTATTATTACTTAGAGGGTCGTGCTCTACTGCCCAGGCTGAAACACAATGAAGTGATCACAGCTCACTGCACCCTCAAACTTCTGGACTCAAGCAATCCTCCCACTTCAGCCTCCCACGTCTAGGACTACAGGGGTGTGCCATAAAACCCAGCTAATAAATTTGTTTTAGACAAGAGGCTAGATGAAGAATTAAGGTGGAGCCTGTAGTCTGAGTTACTTGGAAGGCTGAGGCAAGACCACCTGAGCCCATGAGTTTGGAGTTGCAGTGAGCTATGATGGCGCTGGTGAATAGCCACTGCATGCTGGCCTGGTCAACATAGCGAGACCTTATCTCTAAACAGAATTAAACACACACACACACACACACACACACACGTGTACAAGAGACAGACAAGGAGAGCAAGGTTATGAAAGAATCAAAAAAGATGGGGAAAGTAGAGGCGGGCAGGTAGAGGAAAGTAAGGAGAGGCAGATGGAAAGTGAGAGCAGAAAGGGCCTCAGAGGAGGCACGGCCTAGGGCAGCAGCTCTCAAAGCACCCTGCACCTGCACCTGCACCAGCAGCACCTGGGAACTCCAGTCGGGAATGCAGCCCATCCCAACCTGCCAGATCAGAAGCTGGTGGGGGGGCTGTCCAGCATCTGCAGTCTCACAGACTCTCCAGGTAGCCCGGATGTAGCTAACAATTACTAAAAACTACACTTGAGAGGAAGGAAAATCTGGGATTCAATGATGAGCCAAAAAAAACAGACAAGATCCTCCCAGAATTAGCGCCAACAGCCTTGCTGGACACACTCAACACCCAGAAAAAATACGACTTCAGAACTGACACAGTCACCCCTCTCTTCCAGGAAGGGCTCTGAAGGGGCACATCAGTCACTTTGGAAACAGGCAGTTCAGTTTTAGCACCTAAAATGAGCTTTAAACACAAGCCCAAAGAAATGAGGTGCTTCCATTGACATATAGCTCAACTAATTTAAATACTTTTAAATGTGTTGTTGTTTTTTTTTTGAGTTGGAGTCTCACTCTGTCACCCAGACTGGAGTACAGTGGCCGCTCCCAGCCACCGCAGCCTCGACCCGCTGGGTTCTGGTGATCCTTCCACCTCAGCCTTCCAAATAGCCAGAATTACAGGCATGCACTACCACGCCCGGCTGATTTTTTGATTTATTGTAGAGATGAGGTCTTGCTGCCCAGGAGGGTCTTGAACCCGCGGGCTCAGGCAATCCACTCACCTCAGCCTCCCAAAGGCGCGGGATTATAGGCTGAGCCACCGAGCCCGGCTAAATGTGTGTTTTTCAGTGAGACCCTGTCTGTAAAAAGAGTCAGTCAGGCATGGCGGTACACGCCTACAGTCCCAGCTTCTCGGGAGGCTAAGACGGGAGGATAGCTTGAGCCCAGGGGTTCAAGGCTACAGTGAGCTACCAGTACGCCACTGCACTCCAGCCTGGGCGCCAGAGCAAGACCCTGTCTCTAAAACAGTAACAGTAAAGTAAAACTCATGTTCTTAAAAGACAGTATCTCTTACACTGCTTCATTTTTTTTCAGTGACTGACTAAGCGGAGGTTTCACTTGCTAACTCATACGTTTTCTATAAAAACATATTCCTAAAAGCAAAAACAAGTTATTATTTGCTTATCTTAGGAGTAACCAGTAAGATATTCACGTCCTTTAGCATATTTCGAGTCTAAATAATTCTGAAATATTAGAAGAAGAGACACATTTTATCGTGAATTAGCATTTGAGTGTTGGTTTCAGCTGAACATTGCACCAAAAGCCGCGGGGAGACATACTAGCTTTGAGGACAAGATCTGAGGCTTGCTGCTGTAAGCGTTCTCGGGCAGCTGCCAGCTCACTTTCTACTTCTTTGTGCTTGCTTAATAAGGCCATTTCTCCCTCCTTGGCATCATCAAGCTGCTTCTGAAGAACCTAAGAAAGATTAAGCAGCCGTTATCAAAAGGCAAGCACGACACTAACTCATCGAAATCACAAGCAGCCTTCTCTTATTCAGACATCACAAGTAACAATAACGAGTTTTAAATCCCTAGGTGCCGGCGACACGTCTAACTTCTTGTCTTCACAAGCCATATGACCCAATCAGAAAAGGCTGTTCTACCCTTATCTAATCCATTCCTCATTGTTGCACAGATGCTAAAAAATACAGCTTTGAAATTTTCTATGCCGACAAAACAAAACAAAACTGTAGGCTTCTGGCATTCTTTTTCACACGTGTGCCATACCTCTATTAAATTCAGGTTTACAAAATAATCTACTTTTTCTTTATTTCAATAGCTTTAGGGGGTACAAAGGGTTTTTGGTTACCTGGTTGCACCATAGAGCACTACACCTGACAGATGACTTTTCTGTCCCTCCACCCTGTGCTCCCTCCCCTGCAATCAATTCAATGCCTAAGTTATCAACTCACGAGCAAACCACTATTAATAAAGGAAAAATAAGAAAACATAATTAAGGCCCTCAGCCTGGGGTGGGGTGGACGTGGCACCTCACCTCTGTGATCTCAGTTCTTTGGGAGGCTGAGGTAGGAGGACTGCTTAAGGCCAGGAGTTCAAGACTAGCCTAGGCAACATAGTGAGACCCTGTCCCTGTTTAAAAAACAGTAACAACAAACAACCCTAAGCTCAATATTTTAACTCTCCCACACCACAGCTGGGAAATGTTAACAGGTGGTTTAAATAAAATCCTTTCATACACAATTGGCAAGTCTTTACAATTTTTATCTTTTAGAAACAGGATCTTGCTCTATCACCCAGGCTGGTCTTGAACTCCTGGCCTCAAGTGCTGCTCCCACGCTGGCCTTCCAAGGTGCTGGAATTACAGGCATGAGCCACCACACCAGCCTATCATTCGCCAGGTTTTCGTCTTATCTTTGGAAGCACTTAATAGCGAAATGCAGAAATAACTGCTGCAGGGGAATAAAAAGCATCCCTCCGCTAACTTTTCTCACAAAGGAAAAGGCAGAAAGAAAAGAAAAAGCGTAAGCGGTATGAATGAAAAGAGGCTGATTCTCAGCCCCTCCAGACCGCTCCTGAGTCTAACAACGAACACGCTTCAAAAAGAAAACCGAGAGGACAGGAAAGTCCACGCCACGGGCACAACAGCCCTCGCCTACCTGAACATTGTTCTCTGCAGCGGCCAGGGCCACCTGGAGCTTCTGGCTCTTGTCGAGGAGACTCCCAGCTTCGTCCTGAACCATCTGTAACTCTGTCTTTAACTTTCCCACGCTTTTTCGGAGAACGGCCTCCTGGCCCTGAAGTTCTTTCCGAAGCTCAGCCTCCTTCTCCTTGCTCGCCTGCAGGCTCTCGGCCGTGAACAGCTGCGACCTTTTCAACGTGTCCAGCTCACGCTCGTAAAAGGACTGGGCCTTCTGCAGCCTGGCCTCACAGTCCTCGGCCAGCTGCTTCTGCCCCAGCCTCAGCGCCTCGAGCGTCTGGTTCAGGGCCTCCACCTCCCGCCGGTGCAGCTCCTCGGCCTTCTCGGGCCCGGAGTCCCCCGGGGCGCCGCGGTCCTGCTGGGACTTGAGCAGCTCCTGGACCTCGCGCCTGTGTGCGGCCCGCAGGTCTTCCAGGGCCAGCCGCTTGTCCTTCTCGAACTGCACCTGGAGCTGTCCGAAGCTCCGCACGCGCTCTTCAAACTTCCTCCGGATCTCCTCCACCTCCCGTGACATGGTCACCACGCGCTGCACGTGCTGGGCTTCCGCGCAGAGCTGCATGTCTTCCACCCTGTGCTTGTAGGCCTCGAATTCCGTCAGAGCCTGCTGCTTCATTTTGATGTGGTCTTCCAGCGACGCTTCCAAGACTTGGATCTTTCTCCGGAGATCCAACTCCTCTGTCACTTTGCTTTTATACTGCAAGATTTTTTCTCTTGTTTCTGCAAGAATTTGCTGGATTTCTTCTTCATGAGCGTCTTTGAGGGCTTGAATCGAAGACTCGTGCTCATCGTTCTTAGTGTTCAAAGCGTAGATTACCTGCACGGTTTGGAAGCAGAAGAGAGAAGGGCTGAGCAAACCATACGCTTCTCTAGCTTGAAGTTCATTCTTTCTTTGGACAGACGCTTCTCTACGCACCTGATCTTAGCTAGCGTTAAATAATTACATCTCGTGGATTGTTTCTGTGCTCACAGACTGATTCACCTAGCAAGCTCCACCTTGGCATAATCCTGATTCGCCTTTGAAGGCCTTTTATTTATGATCTTAAAGCCCCCAGAATCAGAAAGGTTTTACTGCAGGTGAAACAGCAAGGAAGAAAGGGACAAGCGAGGCCTGCAGGCCTGAGGGAAGGGGCACTCTCCACACGCCTCAGCCGAGCTTCCTCGGGACGGAAGGGGTTGGGGGGAAGCTTCTCCAGAAGCCTCTGCTCGACCCAGTGTCCCCAGGCTCCCAGAAGCCCACAGGCCTCCCAAAAGCCTCTCGTACCCACCAGAGGCCTGTTTAAATATGTCAAATTTGGACATTTCCTTTTCCGATTCCCCTGGAGTCCGCTTTCAAAGCCGGTCCACTTTTCTCCCGAGTTTCGAGCGACCCCATCCAATGAGTGCTCTTCTCTTCAGCTACCACATGCTGTCGTGTTACCGCCTTGTTTTGCCTCTGCCTCCAAGCAAGCCCGGTTCCTTGAGTCAGCAGTGCTTTGAGTATGGGTCTTTCTTGGGTTCTAGTGACAACACACTCCCCGGGCAGCCACACCCTCCTCCTCTGTTCCTCGGACAAGCCCTCCGCCACACCACAGCACTGTGGTCAGATGGTGCAACACTCTCAGCTGTGACGACAGGCTGAGGGCCGTGCCCACTTTCTCCCGAACGAAAGAGAGTAAACACTACACCATGCAACAACCCAGGAGCTGAAAATCAGTGTCCTGGAGATCTGCGCTTTGCAGTGTGACCCTCCTCTGGCTTTGGAAACGAATTCCAGCATCAAACACTCAAAACTGGTGAAGATGCAAACGTGCCACCATTTCTGTGGAGAACTTATTCGTGCAGCCAAGGCAGCCGAGGCAGACTGGCCGGCTCTCTAGATATTCCTGGCAACCCAGACCCGACGTGCTGGATATAGGCTGTCACCCTCCGGAGATGCAGCCCACCCCACCGCAGCTTCTCCCTCTCCACCTGGGGCTTTGTTTGGACCCGGCAGCTCGTCCACACACTCACTTGCTATTTTCAGAAGCAATCACGCCGAAGGCACAAAGACTGAAAGATGGCAGGACCCCTCTGTCTTGCCACAGCTTCCCCTTTTCCCTGCAAGATCCACAGGAAAACACGTGCCCAGAAGTGCTTATTCACAGCCTGTTTTTTAAAACCCTAGATCCAAATCCTAAAGTTTGTCCCCAGTGAGCAAACACAGATCCATGGAGGACTCCTTTAATTTACATATTTAAGCTTAAAGGAAGCTTATAGGCCAAGAATGTTGGGTGGTTTCCTAGTCCTGTGCCCTGGGGTCATACCTGCCTACCAAGTCATTGGCCAGAAAAGACGAAACAGGTCGGTGATGTAAAAAAATAAAATAAAAAATATATGATTTGGCTTCTGTCCCCAGTTCTTGACATAAAGCTCCTAAGAATTGTGTGACTCCCTGAGTGACAGGATCATTGGATAGAGCTTCTAAGCCTCTTGGAATTTCCTGGGGGGCAGGGGCATCTTGCGTTCTTATGAAGTGACTCTCGGTCAGCTCCTGGATGGCCACAGAATGGGGGCCAGCGGCCAGAGAACCAACCATGTGACTAGAGGTTGGAACTTCCAGCCCCACACCCTGACTTCCAAGGGAGGGGAGAGGGGCTGAAGGTGAGTTGATCGCCAACCGCCAAGGATTTAATCAATAGGGAAACCTTCACAAAAACCCAAAAGGGGCTTCCGAACACGTGGAGATGCTGGGAGGGTGGCACGCCAGAAGGGGCATAAAGCTCCACGCTCCTCCCACTGATCTTGCCCTGGGCCTCTCTTCCATTTAGCTGCTCATCTGTATCCTTTGCAATATCTTTTATAATAAATGGGTATATGTGTTTCCCTGAGTTCTGTGACCCCTCCTAGCCAACTGCCCCAACCCAATGGGGGAGCAGTGGGAACCCCAATCTACTTAGGCCGGCAAGAAGAACTTGCGACTGGTATCCAAAGAGAGCTCTGTGGGACTGAGACCTTAACCTGCGAAATCTGACGCTATCTCTGGGTAGACAGCGTCTGGGTAGACTGCGTCAGAATACAACTTAACAGCCGGCTCGGTGGCTCAGCCTGTAATCCCGCGCCTTTGGGAGGCTGAGGTGAGTGGATGGCCTGAGCCCGAGACCCGCCTGGGCAGCGAGACCTCATCTCTACAATAAATCAAAAAAATCAGCTGGGCCTGGTAGCGCGCGCCTGTAATTCCGGCTACTAGGAAGGCTGAGGCGGAAGGATCGTCGGAGCCCAGCAGGTCAAGGCTGCGGTGGCCGGGAGCAGCCACTGCACTCCAGTCTGGGCGACACAGTGAGACTCCAACTCAAAAAACAAACAAACAAACAAACAAAAAACTACAGGACACTCGGTGCCCCTGGAGAAGTGGTTGTTGGTGGGGGGGGAACGCACTCATCTTGGTGACCTGAGACGAAGCGTTCTGTGTCGCACTGAGCGAAGGCAGAGGGAAAAACGCTTTGTGCCATGGTGGGGTTCCCTATTTGGGGGATGAAATGGGGGAGGGTGGCAGCACGCGAGCGCTCCTTTGCCAACAATGATGAAGTATCCTCCTCTTTTCTCTCATATCTCCCTTCCCTCCAGCCTTTGAGGAGTCAGTTCAAGTCCTGCCTCCCTTAACGAGTCTCCCACGGCCACCTGAGTCCACGGAGCATGGTTTTTCTTCGCATCTGGCCCTTCCATTTTCTTACCGTCACTCACTCCCGGAAGTCAGTAAATGTTTAACTGATTAACTCTGGGGAGGTCTGGATAACAAGGTTGGAAAGATGTCTGAGGGTGTCAGCCTAGAAAAGAAGCGGAATCTATACAACCCCCATAAAACCTTCAAAAAGGTGAATGAAAAGGTGAAATTAAAAAAGGACAAGAGAAGGAACTAAAGCATCAAGTTAGAAGAGAACTTGAGCAAAGTAAAAAAATCGCTGGACAAATGACAGAAAAGTATTATGGTGAGGTACTTGAGCTCACTTTATATTCTAAACCCTAAACTCAATATCCAAATGGCTGCTGCCTGTCTCTGTAAATAAAGCATTATTGGTGTACGCCAGTGTCCGTTTACTGATGTATTGCCTACAGCTCCTCTCCCATTACAAAAGCAAAGCTGAGTAGGTGCAGAAAAGACCTTATCACTGATTCCTGTTCTAACCTATACGCAGAAAAGCCAACTAAGACAAGAGATCTAAATTTGCACTGTCTTGGTTTACTCTCAACTAAATAGTCCAAGGGTCTCTCCACTACCACCCACACACTGAGAAAACCAATTATGTGATTCTGAAAGCATATTTTATAAAAGAAACATATATTTGTGCTGTTCATGTATTGGTATTCCCCAAGGAAAACAATGTTAAAATAAGCTTCTAAAAACTTAAAAAAGACATAATAAAATAAAACCAAGCACCACATAACAAACTAATACTGCTTTCATTAGTGGTTACTTGAAATAATATCACTACTAAATTACATTATTTTATTTTATTTTTATTTTTTTTGAGTTGGAGTCTCACTCCATCGCCCAGACTGGAGTGCAGTGGCTGCTCCCGGTCACCACAGCCTCGACCTGCTGGGCTCCGGCGATCCTTCTGCCTCAGCCTTCCAAGTAGCCAGAATTACAGGTGTGCGCTACCACGCCCAGCTAATTTTTTGATTTATTGTAGAGATGAGGTCTCGCTGCCCAGGCGGGTCTCGAACCCGCGGGCTCAGGCAATCCACTCACCTCAGCCTCCCAAAGGCGCGGGATTACAGGCTGAGCCACTGAGCCTGGCTAAATTACATTATTTTAAAATGAGAATGCTATATACATAAATTTTCAAGTTGCGTCTAACTGGATATAGTATCCTCCAATAGTTCATTTTTCTACACAATTACAAAAAGGTAATCACTTATTAGTACCTTTCTCTGATTACTAATTCTCAGACCAAGGTAATATAAAAACTCCTGTGTTATACGAACATATAGAAGATATGACCTAAAGCAGCAGAACTTAATTCTGTCTGACCCTATGTAAAATCACAGAATTTCTCCAATCTTCGAGTTTCTCAAATATTAGAGATTCTACTGTCCTAGTGGCTTATTGTTATAATATCAACCTAGTACCAACATTTTAAAAATTCATGCTACACTACTATTTTTGGAAGCCAGAAAGCACTAAAACATGGTAAAACTTGTTAATTAGTTGTATCATTTATGTGTAGAGAATCAGACTAATTTTAAAAGGAACTTCATTCAGTAAGTGACCATAAGCATTCATAAAACTGGCTATTATTCTCCAAACAGGAAAAAGAAACTCTCTAAAGTCCCTTTTCACAAAGTGTCTTAAAAGACATGAGGAGTCATTTGCAGTTTTTCTGGACTAGGACATGAATCATTTCGACAATTTCATGCAACTTCATAGTCCTATTTTATGCCAACAATGCCTAATTTCGCTACGTATTTTGTGATGAATAAGCAACAGCCATTTTAACTTTTTCTGTGAAGATTTTTAGATAATCTTTCCCACAGGTAAAACGAGAACAATTCTTGATTCTAGTTTTAAAAATGCTAAGTTCTTTCTGAAATAGTTCTCATTATTGGCTGATCCAGACTGAACCGTGTCCCTCCAAAATTCATATGCTGAAGCCCTAAAGCCCAACACAACGGTATTTGGAGATGGGACCTTTGGGAGCTAATTAGGTTCAGATGAGTCATCAGAGCGGGGCCTTCATGCTGGGATTAGTGCCAGCATCTGAAGGGACACCAGAAAAGCTTGCTTCCTCTCTCAGCCCTGTGAGGACACGTCAAGAAGGTGGCCACCTGCCACCCAGGAGGAAAGCCTTCACTGTG